CACCGCCCCTCCGGTCCAAAAACAGTCCAGTGGCACCTTTAAGACCAAGTTTTATTTAGGTACAAGCTCTCCCTCCTCTGCGAGGACAGATCTGCACGTCCCCCCACCCCCATAGCTAGCAATCCAAAACAGTCCAGTGGCACCTTGAAGACCAAGTTTTATTCAGGTACAAGCTCTCCCTCCTCTGTGAGGGCAGATCTGCACGTTCCCCCCCCCCCATAGCTAGCAATCCAAAACAGTCCAGTGGAGCCTGAGCGGTGGGTGTTGCCTTCTGACACACGTCCGGTGATGTCAGGGGGTGTGACATATGCAAATAAGTTATGCTAATGAGTTATGCTAATGAGCTCCTGCACCTCTTTTTCTACTAAATGACCCCTGATCAGCAGTGTTCTCTCTAAGCAGAGTTAGTGTGAGCTAGCTCACAGTTTTTTAGCCTCCGACTCTCACATTTTTGTCTTCACTCAGGAAGAGATGGCTCCAGAGCAAACTGATTTATGCAGTAGCCAAATCACTCACTCACAACTTTAATTCCGGTGGCTCACGAAGTAGAATTTTTTGCTCACAAGACTCCACAGCTTAGAGGGAGCATTGGACTGGCTACTTCTGGTTGGGAAAACAGAGTGTGTGGAATGCTTAAGCACCCTCTCCCTGTACACCACAATCCCAGTCCAAATCAGACTCATGTATACCAGGAAATTAAATTCCCAGAATGGAAATAGTAACACATGTGATTGTCCAAACTGGGGAGGATGAAGGAGGATGTAAGTAAATTGTAGTGCATTGTTAGACCCCGAGGTCCTCTGAATGGAGACTCCAGGAGATGGAGTTGGGACACTGGAAACTTATGCCTGAATCATATATACTCTGTCATTGAGCTATGGGCTCTCTCTCTTTGAAGACTAAACTGAAAAACAATCATAAAAGGAGTGGACTTGAAATACAGCAAATAGCTTAGTTAATGAACGTTCTGAGAGGGGCAGGATTATTTGCTGAAGGGTTTGGAATTAAAACCTTTCCAAGATATAATACGGAGCAACTATTTATATTATCATGGGGTCAAACCTTGTGAACCAATTTGGTGTAATGGTTAGGAACGTGGACTCTAATCTGGGAGAACCGGGTTTGATTCCCCACTCCTCCACAAGCAGCTGTTGGTGTGATCTTGGGTTAGTCATGTCCTTTCAGAGCTGTTCTCTCAAGAGCAGTTCTCAAAAGACCTCTCTCAGCCCCACCTACGTCACAGGGTGTCTGTTGTGGGGAGGGGAAGGGAAAGGAGATTGTAAGCTGCTCTGAGACTCCTTCGGGTAGTGAAGGGTGGGGTATAAATCCCATCTCTCCTCCTCCTCCTCCTCCTTCATGCTACTGTATTCCTATCTATCCAACCCAGAGCCATAGAAAGGTTTTAAACTCCATCTGGAATTGGTTTAAACTCAGTCTCTACTACTTAGTCCCTCACTTATGGAACAACCACAGAGAATACTTCCTTACTTTCACTTGCTGTGTAGAGGACTCAAAAGGACGTTGATCTCAATCAGTATGATGAGACACAGGGAAGTAATTGGTGTCTTAAGAATGCTGAGCCAAAGCTATAAAGCCTATAAAGGTAAAGGTCTCCCTTGCTCGAAAGCCAGTCGAGTCCGACTCTAGGGTTGCGGTGCTCATCTCCGTTTCAAAGCCGAAGAGCCAGCGCTGTCCGAAGATGTTTCCGTGGTCATGTGGCCGGCGCACGGAACGCTGTTTCCTTGCCACTGAAGTGGTACCTATTTATCTACTTGCAATTTCTTGCTTTCGAACTGCTAGATTGGCAGGAGCTGGAACTAGAGACGGGAGCTCACTCCGTCATGCGGCACACTCGGGTCTCGAACTGCTGAACTGCAGGCCTTCCACAGCCTGCAGTTCAGCATCTTAACCACTTGAGCCACCGCAGCCTATGCCAAAGCATTAAAATTGAAGCCAAGTGCCATACATACCATCAAGGCATCTTCTCTGTTCCAAAGTAGAATCACTCCCACTCTGGCATAGAGCTTGGTGTATATATCACTCTTCTCGACCAGGATACCAGAACTATAGTATGGTGTTCTTACACTGCAGAGAAGTAAGTCACACAAAAGTTATTGTTAGACTCTACTGCAGGTGAAAATTCATCTTTGGTTTCTACTTGCTCTTCCATATGCAAGGTAAAGCTTTATTCATGAGGGAGGACATCGTTCCTAGCTTAAATATGAATATTCCAAACAAAGCTGACTGTTATTAGTAATCTGTACGTCTGTACGAGTTAGTCAGGTTGTTCTCAGTTTTTCAACTGTGAAAGTTTATCCAGGTAAATGAAACATTATATTTTACTTGTGAATGAAAGAGGCAGTTCTGTTTCCATCTAAAAACTTCTAGTACATACCATATTTTAGATCTAGCAGTGTCATTATTGCTTATTACACTTAAGTCCATGAGAACTTGCCTTCACCCTTTCTCCTCCCTTCCATATTTACTTACTGAAGGTTTATAGTGCATCATCATGCCAGAAAAAGAACTAAACGGAATCCAATTCAAACAGCCCCCGGCCCTTGCGGCTGTGGGGCTGGGGGAGTGCCTTTGCCTCCCAGCTGGAGGGACGGGCCATTTTTTAGGGTAGGAATTTTTTCACCCCTTCATGATTGGTAGGAATTTTTCGCCCCTTCCTGATTGGTACTTGGAGAAGGTGTTTTTGCCTACCCTGTATTACAACAGTGATGCAGGGTTTTTTATAGGGGTGGAGCCGTGTTAGTTATGTTGGTCACTTATAGGTGGGCAGGATTCTATGCTGAGACAGATTGCGGTCTGGTGAGCACCAGCTGACACCCCTTCTTTGGGGTTGAAGGGGTCGCGTGAGTAGTCTTTGTGCCTTGCGGCACGGGGCGGGGAAAACAGACTGCTTTTTGGACTGCCCTGATGGGTCCTCTCTTTGGGCCTTGTGGTCCAAGGGATGGGACTGCGAGGCTGTCCTACAACAGCTAGCTGGCTGGGCGGGAGCCACGGCTGATGGCTCTCGCCTGGGGCGGGGTGGCTCACTCTACGTCACAAGGCAATGGAGGGGGTTTTGGACCCCTGGCCTTGACCTCACCACAATCTGTGTTGCCCTTGCTATTAGTTCCGGTTAAAGTTGATTGTTAATAAAGTGGCCCTATAGTTAACCCAACATTCGTGTCCGCCTCTTTATTCCGGCTTGGGGGCAAGTCTTCAATGGCAACAGGAAAAAAAGACAATCACACAAATGCACCACGGTCCAAATAAAGAAAATCAGGAGTCTGGCATCTGAATTCATCTCTGCAGCTATGTACTAGATTTCTGAGAACCAGAATGGATGTAGCAGCATTATACTTATAGGGACTGCAGGCACAATATGGAATATTGCTTTTGTATCCTTAAACCCACATTCCTTAAAATGAATGTAGGAAAATTAATGGTAGGAAAATTAATGCTTGACAAAGTGACTCCCAGCACGTCTTTATGACTAAAGGCCCTTTATACCAAGTTTTCTCTGTGCAAAATGAGCCATTTTTCCAGAGAAGGATCCTACTGTAAATTTTATTCACACCAGAGTTTCTGCTGCAGAGCAAATAGTCAACCTAAGAACAGGGGAAGAGGTCACATTACAGGAAAAGGAAAACATTAACATTCACAGTGAAAAGGAGCATGTTTCCTTAAACCAATTACTTAACAATTGGTGTGGATTTATAATGCCATAATCTGCTGAAGAATGTCCTCTACATTGCAAATTACTTCTTCAAGACCATCCACTGACTAAATGGGTCACTTATCACTGCTGTTGAATGCCTCCTCTCTCTTTGCTTTATTCCCTGCATGAACAGGGATAAACCAGTAGCTGTTCCCAAGCAAGTGATAAAATCCCTAACCACATCTGGAAAATGGACATTATCTGAAGTGAAAGAAAGAAGAAGCAAGGGTAACAGGGTCTGGACCTAAACCAAGGTGCCAGAAACTCTTAGATTGGTTGTAGAATCAGAAAGGCACCCAGGACAACAATGGAGATCTGATGTGGTCCAATGGTGAGCTTGGGTGTAAAGCAGACCTACACAGAAGCTCCAGCCTGGCCACAGGCTTCTATGGTGGCTTTGGGTAAGCTACAGTTTCTGTTACATAGTCATGATAATGTGTTATCTTAGCAAATTAAAACTATCCAATCACAACAATGAACCTTAGGAACTGTAACCCCAAGAGTGAAAAGCCCCAGATACATCAGCACATGGATTTTGCATGACATAGAGGATCAGTAACGTTAAAAGAACTTACATTTGCCCATCCACCACAACCATTTTGTGAGTGAGGTAGATTGCAACATCTTTAACTGTGACAAGAACATATTGGATGTCAGGGTGTCCTTGGTCGTTCAGTTCACGCTGGATGTGGACAGAGAACTCCTTATACCCTTGGCAGTCAGAAGCAAAGTTGTAATTACAGAGGCCAGGAAACTGGTAGAAATCACCATCAAACGTTTTGAAGTGGTTGTTCCCCCAGGTGCTGCAGACATAGTGGCCATGACTAGGATCTCTTCCTGAAGTGACGAAGAATGAGGACAAAATAACCACTGAGTGAAATGATGGAGGAAGAAAATGGGCGATCGATGTTTGTAAAATTAAATACCAATGAACTATAAAATCTGAAGAACCTCTGAAGAAGGAAGTATCAACCACCTGTTTCAAATGTTCATCATTCTAGATACGCATTACAGTATTGCAAGCAACATGCACATTTATACTTCATAAAGATGCATCCAGTTTCTAGATTGGGATTGCAAACGCAGCGAGATCTTTGATATAAATCAATAAAAGACAGGCATCTTTGAGAGAAGAGTTGATGCCCTTTACGACAATACAACAACAGAGCAATTTCTACGGCTCCTGTTTGTTAATCCATGAATATAGACTGTGTGACACTCTTGAAGCATTCCAAAGTAAGCCACTCACCGAGGGAAAGAAACAAACATACCCTCCACCAAATGTACTTCAGATCCAAGAATCCTGAAAAATGACAGGGCCAACTATCTTTCTTTGCTAAAGAAAGAAAGTCTTGACCCACTTGTAGGTCCTCCTCACTACTGGATCATTAATAACTTCATAATCAAAACTACTGGACTGAATGGGTCATCGAGCTCTAATCTAATACAGCTTCTTTCCTTCCCTCGACCTGCCACAAATATGCTGAGGCAGGATCCTCTGTATCTCAACACACGTTCTCATCATCATTCACAGCAACAAAATGATTATTTGTTAATAGCAGAGAGCAGGACCGCCCAATCCCCTCCATGCAGTATCGACCACATCCCCCAAAATCCCTCTTGATCAGCTGAACAACGGAATGTTCTCACTCATTATGCACTGCCGTGCTCTGCGAGAGCCAATGTTGCCCAGGCTTCCCCTGAAACACCTCTTCTAAAAGGCTTACCTCTTTTAATGTCACTCGCATAGCAAAGGGCCAGCCATAGTATCAAAAGGCTGGGTACCCTTCGTCCCATGGTGTCAAAGAGAGGACAGAAGCTGTTCTAAACCTTTCCTTTATATAATGCCCATTGATGCAGCTCATGCCATCACAGGGGAGGAGATGACAGATGAGGAGAAGGAGGGACCACATGGGTGTGATGTTTGCAAAGGTAAGCAAACAGATAATTTTTTTATTATTATAATACCTGTAACCCAGCATTTAGGTAATATTGATTCAGTTCTTATACAGGGTTTTCTTTATTGCCCTTCTTTATTTTATTTCTCAACAAGGGTGCAAATAGTCCTTTGGACACATGCAATTTTCGTTTGCAGTCCATGCTGGCTGTCGAAAGTCAGGGGGACGATGTTGGGATTTCTTTGTTCAAACAGAACCTACGGTTCCTTCGGCGCCTCTTCCAAAATAAGGATGGCAACTTACTTTATCTGAAGATTTTGAATAAGATTGATTCCCCCCCCACACTCTGTGCGTGTGTGTTTGTTGTTGGTGGGAGGAAAGAACTGAGGGATTTTGCTTAATAACGCTGATGGCCGGGAGGGAGCCAATGAACAGGAGTGGTTCTGTGCACCCGAGTGGCCGATAGGAGAGGTAAAGGTAAAAGGTAAAGGTTCCCTTGCTCGAAAGCCAGTCAAGTCCGACTCTAGGGTTGCGGTGCTCATCTCCGTTTCCAAGCCAAAGAGCGAGCGCTGTCCGAAGAAGTTTCCGTGGTCATGTGGCCGGCATGACTAAACACCAAGGCACACGGAACGCTGTTACCTTCCCACCGAAGTGGTACCCATTTATCTACTTGCAATTTCTTGCTTTTGAACTGCTAGGTTGGCAGGAGCTGGAACTAGAGACAGGAGCTCACTCCGTCATGCGGCACACTCGGGTCTCGAACTGCTGAACTACTGACCTTCCACAGCCTGCAGTTCAGCATCTTAACCACTTGAGCCACCCTCTCAAAATACCCCCACATGCCACATAACAAACCTCCTTTGAAACTGACAAGGCCTTCAAAGGCAGTTTGCGATATGGCCTGGGGCATGAGAATGGCAAGATCCGGCATTTGCCAGGACCCCAAAATTACCAAGGGTGGTCAAGGCTCAGTAACGGTGCCACCACTCTCACTTTGCATTGACCACTGAAGAAGACCCGGAGGAGCATGAGCAAATTCAGTTTGCCTAACCTGCCTCTTCCCAGTTAAAGAATCACATGGAGTAAGCCTTGTCTAACAACTCACATAATCTTGGGAGGCAACACTGCATGAGGATCTGCTCTTTGAAGAAAAGCTTCATCAATCCTGCTACCTAGGGCCAAATCCTTGCCTGAAGCATCTCTTTTGATTCTGGCCCAAAGCTGGGGAGAGAAATGACTACCTTGAAAGCTGAGGTAAGAACATAAGAACATAAGAGATGCCAATGTTGGATCAGGCCAAAAGCCCATCCAGTCCAACACTCTGTATCACACAGTGGCCAGAAATACCAGTGCCATCAGGAGGTCCACCGGTGGGGCCAGGACATTAGAAGCCCTCTCACTGTTGACCCCCCCAAGCACCAAGATGACAGAGCATCACTTGCCCCAGAGTCCCTATGTATACCTTGTGGCTAATAGCCACTGATGGACCTCTGCTCCATATGCTTATCTAATTCCCCTTTGAAGCCGTCCATGCTTGTAGCTGCCACCACTTCCTGTGGCAGTGAATTCCAAGTGTTAATCACTCTTTGGGTGAAGAAGTACTTCCTCTTATCCGTTCTAACCCGACCGCTCAGCAATTTCATGGAGTGCCCACGAGTTCTTGTATTGTGAGAAAGGGAGAAAAGTACCTCTTTCTCTACCTGCTCTATCCCATGTATAATCTTATAAACCTCAATCATGTCACCACTCAGTCGTCGTTTCTCCAAGCTAAAGAGCCCTAAGCGCCTTAACCTTTCCTCATAGGTTTTCTTCAGACTCTCAGTGATATGGGGGGGGGGGGCTAGGACTTCTTTGCAATATAGGGCTTTACACCAAATTAAGCTAGCCAATAACTACAAAACCAATCCTACTATTGCATGCAAATCTAAAATAATTAGATTTTGAAAGCACGATTTTAGACAAAAGTCAAGGCATCAGAGAGCTCCGGCATTTCTCTGCATGTTAAAAGGATTTTCACATAGGATTTTCAGTCCTTGATAGCTGGCGAGCCCATAAGAGGATATGCTACAGTGACCAGCTTCTTCTGGAATAGTGGACCTTCAGTGAAAGTGTTACATAGCCTTAGGGCAATGTTAAAGACTGTATGAGTATTTCTTATTTCCTTATTGACATTTGGTAGTGAAGCTGTTACATAGCCTTAGGGCGATTTTAAAAACTTTATGAGTGTTTCCAGTTTACATTTGGTATACTATCTCTTGAGGGTTCCTGTCTTTTGCATAAGTTTGCACGATTTTCTGTACGCTGTAAGATTCTCTTATTTATGCATGATTAAGAATAACAAAACAGCTACAGATGTAATTATTTGTTTGGCCTTTATTTTGGCTACATACACTATGTTTGTCATTTGCAGTTTGCTTAAAAACAATGGCAAATAATGGCCCTTAAGCTTGATGGGCATCAGGTATTTCTGAATCCTCCATAAAATGAGGGCCAAGATACACCCACTCCACAGTACCCTCCAGACTACCTGCTTGGATCACAGGAACCAAGTTCCTTTGTTTTGTGGGGGAGGAGTGGAGGCTGTCAGGCTCATCCAGTTACAATCTCAGCTGCAGCAGTTTATGTAATTTCTATTCTCTAGGCTTATTCTTTTATTTATTTATAATTTCAATTTATAGGCCGCCCTCCCCGCAACGCGGGCTCAGGGCGGCTCACAAATAGGCATACGCCAACACATAAAAACAGTTAAAACTATAAAAACCATTATTACAGAATTACAACATATTAAGTGCTCTAGATGTTCTAAACAAAATCGTTCATCAAGATGGTGTGTCTAAGATTGTACATCCAGGGGTCATTTTGGAGAAAAAGAGGTGCAGGAGCTCATTAGCATATCTCGTTAGCATAACTTATTTGCATATGCCACACACCCTGACATCACCGGAAGTGAGTCAGAAGGCATCACCCACCGCTCAGGCTCCACTGGACTGTTTTGGATTGCTAGCTATTGGGGGGGGGGAGGAATAGGCAGATCTGTCCTCGCAGAGGAGGGAGAGCTTGTACCTGAATAAAACTTGGTCTTAAAGCTGCCACTGGACTGTTTTGGGCTGGGGGGCTCTGCAGCTTACCTGGCTGCTTCTTGCTGTGACTGAGGGCTGCTGGGAGCAGGGGGCGGGGCTTGTTGCATGTGCCCACCCCCTGGGCTCTTTACTGCCGGAGCTCTGCTCCTGTGCGCTCCTGCAGGAAATGACCCCTGGGTACATCCAATCAGTGCTATCAGTTCCACGTGGCACTGTCGTTCTCTCTTCCCAGGGCCAGTTAAGAATGATGGTACGATAGTGGTTTTTTGCTATTTTGAAAAGCAAAAAAGAGGACATATTTCCTGACTGTCTACTTCAAACAAAAGTGATCACTATCAATACCTTGAATAGCCAAGGGTCCCTCTGCGTGTGGATACTTATTTCCGCAGAACAAGGGCACCTGGAGGCGAAATAGGTTTTTCTGCACAGTTGGAGTACTCTCCAGGATTGCAGAAAAATGCAAAAAGTTTTTTAAAAATACACAGGGGGGGTTAAACCCCTCCAAAATAAAAAAAACTGGGTTGTCTGCACTTGCACAGTCTGCACTCGTGGTTCCGTACTTGGAGCTTTGCTCAGTGGCCGGCCTCCCCGCGGCCAGCAAGACAGCCTTGGAGTAACGGGGCGGGGGACACCAACGTCACTGGTCCTTCCCAGGCAGCTGGCCTCCCCACTGCCAGCAAGGCAGCCCTGGAGCCGCGGGGCATAGGATGACACTGCCAGATCCCTTCCAGGCGAGCGGTCTCCCCACTGCCAGAAAAACAAGGAAACTGCAAAAAAGGAGGCCAAAGAGAGGGAGTGTGTGTGTGAGAGAGAAAGAGAGGGGGGGTAGGCAGACTGAGAAGGGGTGGGGGAAAGAGGACATTGTCTGCGAAGGGCTGGGGTAAGAGAGGGGTGAGACATGCAAGTGGTGAGTGGAGAAAGGGGGTGAGAAAGAATTCCTAGAGAAGGGGGTCGGGAGGAAAGCTCACATAGAAGGTGTGAGAGGGGGAGGTGAGGGAAGACTGATAGATAAGGGGCGGGTGCAGAAAGACAGGAGGGAACTTTGACAGAGAAGGGAGAAGAGGGAAGCAAAGGTGGGGGAAATGCCCCCTCCCCGCAGGTTTCTTGAGGGTCACCCCTTGTGACCAATCTAATTTTAAATACCCCTACTATTTAAACCGTGGTAATTGCTACTAACCAGGAATATTCCTAACTGATCGACCCCCAAAAGAGGACATTCTCATCCGTTTTTTTTTAAAGCCCAAAAGAGGACAGACACCAAAAGAAGAGGATGTGTCCTCTAAAAAGAGGACATCGGGTATCCCTATATTATCATAATATGAACACTCCACAAAGAAAGGGTGGAAGCAGCTACCGGCATGCTGAAACCCAGCCTCTCATGTAGAGAGCAGAAAAGCCATATGAAGCCTGAAGATGTGGTACACAACCCAACACACACCCCACAGGCACGGGCAGGATTTATAAAGAAGGAAATGCTCAGACAGTGCCAGCAGGCAGCACAACTTGCTTTGGGGTATGGTGAAATGCCCCTTCCCAGCGCAGCAGTGCCCAACTCAATTCAAATAAGGGGCAACCAGGGAGGAAAGAGGAAAGGACCAGGCAGCAGGCTCCAGCCTACCTAAAGCCTGCAGTTTCATTACCCACAGCCAGGCAGCGAAAGCGAGGCAGAGAAGATGGTGGGGAATCCTCAAGGGCTCGTGGGATGAGGGTGTTAGGAGGCAGCCACTGCCGCCTCCTCTCGATATTTCATTAAATGGGTGGATCTGATACCTGATGCTGCAGGTGACACATTACACTGCTCCCCCTAGTCTTTGTGCCA